GTGGATATGATGGAAAGAGGGAAGATTGGATTAGACTTTTGCAAGTATGGTCATTTTTATATGGGTTGAAGTGTTTTTTAATAAGTTATTACTAATTTTTGTGGCAATTAGTAGTAAATTTGCCTCAAAATACAGTTTTTCATCATATTCTAAACTAAGTCTTATTCATGACAGATACTTAGTTTTGGATGAAGCAGACCGGATGCTGGATATGGGATTTGAACCTCAAATACGTCGCATAGTTGAACAAGATACTATGCCACCAAAGGGTGTTCGCCATACTATGATGTTTAGTGCTACTTTTCCTAAGGAAATACAGGTACTGTTTGATGTTAAAATGTTTTTAGAACAGAACAGAATAAAATTTATTTAGAACATTTGTGTTTATATAAATAACAACTTAGGTTTATTTTCCTTTTTCAGATGCTTGCTCGTGATTTCTTGGATGAGTATATCTTCTTGGCTGTAGGCAGAGTTGGCTCTACCTCTGAAAATATCACGCAGAAAGTAGTTTGGGTGGAAGAGTCAGACAAACGGTCATTTCTGCTTGACCTTCTCAATGCAACAGGTGAAATCAGTTAAAGTATCTTGTTTTTGTTTGGTAGATGTAAAGAGAATCTATTTGGATCTTCTCCTCTACCCTCCCCTTCATTTAAAACATCTTTTGTTCACTATTCAAAACATTATTTTAATTGCCTTCGTTTGGATATGCAGTGAGAACTAAACTAAACCAGTTAATTCATAGAACACGTAGTAAGGTTAGATCATGTCACTAACAAAACTATCAAATTTTTCAGGGAAAGATTCACTGATCTTAGTATTTGTGGAAACCAAAAAAGGTGCAGATTCTCTGGAAGATTTCTTGTACCACGAAGGATATGCTTGTACCAGCATCCATGGAGACCGATCACAGAGAGATAGAGAGGAGGCCCTTCACCAGTTCCGCTCAGGAAGAAGTCCAATTCTAGTGGCTACAGCTGTGTGTATATTTCTGTTCTCAAATTGAGCATGTTTAGATACTGCTTTCTTTTAACAACAGTTGTTTTTCAGGTAGCAGCAAGAGGACTAGACATTTCAAACGTGAAACATGTTATCAATTTCGACTTGCCAAGTGATATTGAAGAATATGTACATCGCATAGGTCGTACAGGACGAGCAGGAAACCTTGGTGAGATACTTGTTTGCAGAATGGTCTAATTGCTTGTTTTATTGTAATGCATGCAGAAAACGGTGTGGTATACAGGCTCATAAATAATATTGTTTCTATTAGCTGTCATCAAGTTGACCCTGATTCATAAGATCTGATACCCAATGGTATTGGACTCTTGAGCCACAGGGTGTTCATTGATATTTTAGAAGTAGGTCACCAAATCCTTTTTTTTCCTAGTTGTTTCCTTGTGGAAGTTTCACTTAAACTTGTCCAAGCCTTCCCCAGGCATGTATTAGTGTTCTGTGTTACAGAAAAGCAAGAATACCAGGCTACTTTTTACAATTTTCTGATTAATAACTCTATACTTTTCTGAACTCTTTTAGGCCTTGCCACCTCATTCTTTAATGAAAGAAATATAAATATCGCCAAAGATTTGTTGGATCTTCTTATTGAAGCAAAACAAGAAGTGCCATCTTGGTTAGAAAGTATGGCTTATGAGTACCAGTACAAGGGTGGTAGCCGTGGCCGTTCCAAGAGGTACAAACCCTGTATTATAAAGAGGAATGAATTTTTACATTACTTTTATTTTAATTTATTGCTTTGGGCATGTAGTTACGTCCAAGACCAACTTATGTTGTTGTTGTTATGTGCCATCGAGTCGGACCTGACGCATAGCAGATTGCCCCATCTTCCTTCCGAGGAGTGGCCAGTGGGTTTGAAGCGCCAGCCTTCTGGATAGCAGTCAGATGCCTTAGGCACTACGCTACCAGAGCTCCTATAGACCAACTTATAGCAATTTAAAAGCAACCATCTAAACTATCAATATGTTGGGTGATGTACTATATTAGAGTGACATGGCATTAATGTTATTAATTTGTTGTAGAGGCATTTGGAAATGGTATTTAGAGGAAACAACTACAATGGGAATTGAATTGAAAAACCCAGAAATTCAGAATTGGAAAGTTTAAACAGAAATTGGTATTTAATTCAATACTCAAGCTACTGACTGTTTTTTATGTAATACTAGATTCAGTGGAGGATTTGGTGCCAGAGACTATCGACAAAGTGGTGGTGCCAGCAGTTCTAGTTTGTGTAGTAATCGTGCAAGCAGCAGCCGCAGTGGTGGAGGTGGTCATGGCAGCAGCAGAGGATTTAGTGGAGGTAATGTTAACTTCAGTCTCCTTTGGTTTGAAAAGCATGATTTAAAACTACTGGAAATTTTGGATTCCCAAGAACACAAGAATTGAACACTTAGATTTTTTTTAGTAAGCTTGCATCGCTGTACTTTTGATAAAACATAATCAGAGTAGTTAATGATTTAATTTCTCCTTTTTTAAATTTTTCTGTAGGTGTCTATGGAGGCTTCTACAGTAGTGATGAATATGGAGGAAATTATAACTCTCAGGGAGTTGACTGGTGGGGCAACTAAATCTGGTATACATCACCCACCCACTCAAACAAGCTAATGTGGAAACCACATGTAACTTAGCCAGACAATATTGTATAACTTACACTATATTACCAGCTGTGATTCTCCTAAAAATATTAAAAAGAGCTCAAGGTCACAAGAAGAAATAAAAAAAGCAGCCTTATTCAGAAGTTGTTTGAAGAATTAATTGTTATAGTATTTATTACCTCTGCTCTTATTCCCACCCCAAACTGCATTTATAATTTTGTGACTGAATATTATTTTGTTTGTTAATGTACTGTTACTTTAACTTTAGACCACTTAACTATTTTGATGTCCTGTTGGCTCAGTAATGCTTGAGATAACCAATTGTTTTGTCAATTAAATTTGCTGAACTTGAGCTATAATCAAACCTTGGCACACAGGTATGATACACAACTTAACAGAAATCATCAATTCCTAAATATTACTAGGAAAACAACATACTCAGTAGCCTGCATCAGGGTTTTTGATGTTTACAGATTGTTGGGTGCAAGTGACATCTTAAAATTAGTTTCTTGTGTAGCAAACTGGACTAAGTTAAAGTTCTGGCTTGTTCACTCTATCTTGGAGGGAAACTTTAGAATCTTACTTAGAGTTTTTATATAAGCCATTCCAGTCAGTTAGAAGCAATGAATATGAATACATACATTTATTATTAAAGCAACTCTTTCTAAAGTTAATGCAAGAAAACTCTTTTTTAAAAATGTTTATATGGTTAATTATAAGCTTGATAAATGGATATACTGATGTAGGGAAAGTTCTTATGACTAGGTATTTGGGAATATTTTATGTAGTGAGATTTTTTTGTTAATGCCTGCCATAAGTAAAATTGAAGAGGAAGAATAGCTGACCATGGCAGTCACCAAGGCCTGGTTGGTTTTTGATCTGTAGAGCATACTAGTATGTGTTAATATTTCTGGTCAAGAGGGAGTAAAACAAAAGCATTATGCAGCAGGCTTTAATTCAGTCCAGATTTACATTTCTCTGTTCAAAGCTGCATTCAGATGTTAAAAATTGTTTACACTCTATGCTTCTTACACACTTCTCAGAAGAAATTTAAAATCCTTGAGATCACACAGGTAGGAAATGTTTACTAAACTGCACAAGGGTCTTTGTAGTGCAGGTTTTATATAGTGCAGTCTCCTTTAGTTACATAGGTTTCCAGTATATTTATAGTCTTTTTATGATAAATTTGGCCAAAGATTATCCACCACTAACAATACCTCTACAACTGGAATCTCTGCTAATTTTGTGGCCAGAATGTGGTGATTAAAAACACTTTTACAGTGGCATACCAAGTCAGTGAAAGTTTCTTCAAGTGCAATAGATTTTCAATGTATTGTGCCTTCTGAAACTAAGTAGTTGCTCTTGACAGTGTTAAGGTTGTTATGGTGCTATTTCAATTAGTGTAAGATTAGGTTCTTGTATGTTTTGCCCATAACTTTGTAATTTACAAAGTGTACTTATTTTATTGCACATTCAGAGAATTTTATATGTCTTGTGTGTTTAACTTCTAACTTCCAATCTTATTTTTTCTTCTTGGAGATTGTTGAAATTAATTTGTTGAAGTAGATTTTAAAAATTTATTTGGGACCATAGGAATGAGGGTTGGGAAGAAAATTTTGCACACAGATTATACTTTTGCTGCTAGTTTTGTGTACTATTTATTGAACATTTTGACAGATGTTTATTTTTGTAAGTCTAAGGTGATTCTTTGAAAGTTTAAAGAAACTCAAAAGTATGAAAACACTGGCAATTGAATGTTGAATGTCATATGTGAAATAACATTTCAGGGTACCTTGTGAGCTTTTAATGTCCTGTTAAATTTACAACATGTTAAGCAGACCCAGCATCGTAATGTAACCATCTTTCTGGCAAAATTTAAGACAAATAGGTAACATGAAATAAAAACATGCCAAGGTTTTGATATACTTGTCTTAAGATATTGATGAAAAACTTTAAAACACCAATACAAAGTGTCCACATTCTCAGAGGTTCTGTGAGCTTTTCGTTGTGTTTTGCTTTGTTGTCAATGACTGACTGGCATATTGTAATCCTCAAATGTGGTTTTCTTTGAATATTGCCATAATCCGTGAATTTTACATTCAGTTTCATCAACCAGAAGTCCTTTAAGTAGTTTAAAGAATGTGTTTTTCAACTTCCTGAATGTAAACATTGGACTTGAAGTCACTGTAAGGTTAATGGTAGCTTATTGTTATTAGTTGTATCTAGCACTGCATGTGCTACGTTTGTTCTCATTTTACTAAAATAAAAATTTGAACACACCTTTTGTTATCAGTGGTGATTTAAGGAGAAGTGAAATGAAATTGTGATCTAATTCTGGCTTATCTGTGAAAGCTGTTTGTGAAATGATTCTTCACAGGCAGAAATAATCCAGTGCTTTCAATATCTGAATAAATATTGAAAGTGGCATAAATTTGTAATATATAGAGAAAAATTTTATTGTGAATTACATAAGTCTAAAAGGCCTATGTTACAAATTGGTTTACTTTATACAGCTTTGTGGATGAGATTGTTACAAGCATTTTGATTCGAAGAATGGCTGAACTGAAAGGATGAATTGAGTAAAAAGTCATTCTACTAGTATGTCAGCACATTACTTTTTGGTTGTAGATGGCAAATACTTCTGTGGATCAAAAATTATTGCAACATGTTGGTGTTTGGCAGAGATTGTCTGGGTATCCAAATTACCACTGTTGGCTGATAATCCACCATTACCCCACATTGCTAGAGGTAGCAGTTATTGTGAGAGCCACGCCTGTTTAAAATGTTAACATCCAAAATAAGAAATTTGGCTTTTTAAGCCAGTCAAACCTCACAACAACCTTTTTGTATCCCCTCCTGCCATCAAACACCATCCATCCCTGTGCAGGATAATAATACCATATCTAACAGCATAAATTGGTTTTATCTGTTTTTATACTTTAAGCATATAAAATATAATTTTTTAACTACTCATTTCACTTAATACCATAGCTATGATAAAACTTGTTAGTTTTAAGTTTCTTTCTGGTTGTTGTGTTGTTGTTATGTGCCATGAAATTGGACCTGACTCATAGCAACCCCTCCTTGGGTTTCCAAGGCAGTATTACTACGGAAGTAGATTGCCCAGCCTTCCTTCCAAGGAGTGACTGGTGGGTTTGAACTACCAGCCTTCTGGTTAGTAGTCAAGTGCCTTAGGCACCATGCTACCAGAGCTGCCAGTTGTTGTGTAGTCCCATTATATCATAAAAACTTGGGTTGTTTCCAGTTTGATTATTAGGAATTCTGCCATGAATATATGCATGTGATTTTTGATAGACCTTTTTTTGTGGTTATATGCCAGAAGTGGTAAAAATGCTGGGTTTGGATATTTTTAGTAGATACTACCTGTTTAGTAGGGAGCTCTGGTAGTGCAGTGCCTAAGGCACTTGACTGCTAACCAGAAAGCTGGTGGTTCAAACCTACCAGACACTCAGGAGGGAGGTTAGGCAATCTACTTCCATGGTGATAACCGCCTCGGAAACCCAAGGAGGGGTCTCTGTGAGTCAGGACTGACTCAACAGCACATGATAACAACCACCACCTATTTAATATTGTCTGTTCTGTTTTACACTTGATAGTTTTACAAGGGTTCTGATTGCTCTGCATCTTAGCCAATGCAGGATTTGTTAATATTTATCATATTTATGTTCAAGTAGATACTTGTTGGTTTCAAATTGTTTCTGCTTGCTTTTTGAGTCTTGGACCATGTTGTTGAGGCTCATGTATCAAAGAGTTGGGCCATAGCTAAGTCAGTTTGCCCACATGTGTGTCAGAGTAGAACTGTGCTCCGAAGTTGATATTTTTGGAAACAGATACCAGGCCCTCTCAAGGAACCACCTGGTAGACTCAAATCACCAGTTAAACAGTCATTTGGTTAACAGCAGAGGGCATAATCATTTTTAATACTTAAGGAACAAATAATACATAGGATTCAGATAGTGAACAATATAATTTCTCCTGTCACTGAAAACTGTCCAGATGTGTTACATTGCTAGTACAGGTCAGTGTTGCATGTGCTCTGCCTTAGTATCTATCACCTTGGAGTCAAACCCATTTCTGAACTTAAAGGTTTCTCGTGTTCATTGACAGTGATATTTGTCCCATTTGCCTATTTGTAGGTGTGTGGTTTCAGTACTGTTGGCTTTGGAGAATGCTTGGTAACTAGGTGCCATGTCCAGCAAAGCTGCCCAGGTGATGAAACAGCCACATGAAGGATTAAAAGTTTTAAAAGGAACAGGGGCCAGGCAGACAGTCTATAGATGATGTGAAAGTGACCCCTGATGCATTCATCCTGCCTTATTTATACCCATTGCTAAAAGGCCAGGGAGGCAGCATCTTCTGACCTCTAAACCCACAAGAGGAAGACAGAGTCACCATCAGTAGAGCCCAAGGCCTATCCCTGTGAGGCCAGACATGCTACCTCCCTCCAGCCCTGGCACCAGCTGTTCCTGTTGCAGTACCACACAGAACTCACAGATTATGGGGTTTATTAGGGAAGCACCAAGCTACAATTCAAGTTCAGGAAAAACGCTCAGTCTCTAAGCCAGCAGTCTCTCATAGTCTGTCTCCCACAAGTGCAAGTCTGTCAGTGTCTCTCTCAGCAATGTGTGTCTCCTGTCTCTTTCTCAGCAGCCCATGTTTCTTGGGAGCGTGTTTTCTTTAAGCAGCATACCCTTCTCAGCCAACAGTCAGAGAGACTCCTGCCTGTAGGAGGCTGCCTTTTGAGCCTGGCAGAGGGGCCAAATTCACCAAACCCAATTCCAACATTAGAATTCCATACACCTGAGAGACAGAACTTCCCAGAAAATTACTTTGGGCTGCTCCCCACAGAAATGTTGCTCATGGCCAATTCCACCACAGAGTTTACACAGACTTGTCTAGAAAAGCCGTACCAAATAATTTACAGGTGCAAACAATCTCCACAGTTCAGATAC